GATTAAAAGTTTCAATTAAGAACAAAAGGGTATAGGCTCATACTGTGGGTACCAAATAAAAGGTCTACAGGCTCAGAATGGCTACCTAGGGATGATTTTATTTGTCGTAGCATTACAATTTAAAAAGGATCAAAGAAGTCCTAAAATCATATTTCAAACCGAGCAATGGCACATGATTCAATTAGGATGGCTATATTCCAACTCTCAATCAAAGCAAGTACAGAGTTAAGCCACAATTTTAATGCACAAGGCACGCAGTTAGCACAGGAGTCAAGAAATTGAGCCTAAGCATCACAAAAAAACTATTATACTTTTCAAGGCAAAAATAGTTCTCAAAAACTCATGGAGAAAGTTATAATCCACATGCTCAAGTCTAACTCGGTTAGTATCAAACAAGTCACTGAATGTGCTGAATTCAGTCTGAGTCTTTATATCCTACACTACTTTTCAAATAAAACGATAATACCCGATTCAAAAATTCATCCCTTGGAAAAGAACCGATGGCCAAAGAAAACTAGAGGGATTATTGCCTAATAGATTAAACTTTAAACTAACTACTCAAAGCAAATAAAATATTTTTGTGCTTTTCTTTATTTTTATGTCAATTTCCTAATACTAACACTACTTCCTAGAATCAAATGAAAATCTTTTTGTCTTTTTCCAAGGACCTTAATCCCTCGAGAGAATTGTCTAGGTAGTCCGTCATCGGGAAAAGTCCTCTATTTTTTTTTTGATTTGTTTACTTACTACAAATGTAAACAACAAGAGACTGAGAGCTACTACTTATAGATGAATTTATTAACTATTATAAGCCGTTAATTCAGTGAAGATAACAGCCCCAAAAGTATCAAAAGAAACAAACATTGTAATAGTTAAGTACATTCATCCACACAAAAAAATGAATAACCCCAACCCTACACTTAGAACCATGTGTTGTCCCTAATGCACACAAATAAAGTAGAGTAGGTTAAGAAGAAACTCCCTCAAGTCGATGTGGAGGGCTCCTCCGTGGTCTGTGGAGGAGCATCAGCAGCAGTGGTCTGGAAAGCCGGGGTCGAAGTAGCGGCAACAACCGAGTGAGTACTCAAAGCATCCACTACATCTATCATGGCCCCTCTGGCATTGCAATAACATCCTCACGAATAGGGGGCTCGATCACAGTCCTATCCTCACCAGGTGGAGTTGAGTCTGTAGCATGCAACACGATGGTCTCAGTGGGCATAGTGGCTAGAGACCCCGGAACTATAGGAGGAGCAAATGGATGGTCCAGCAGCGGATGGTGCAAGCAAATGTGAGATATCTATATATGTACTTTGGACCGAAGCATGGAGGAGTAGTGATACCTCCCTCATCATCGTAGCCTACTCAACTTGGACTCATCTTAGATCCGTACGAGTCTGAATCTACTCACCTCTAGTGGCACTCAACTCTGCACGATTCGCGATCAACTCAGCCCTGTTCTCTTGCATCTGCTCAACAACTATTGAATAGTGAACTTAGAGGCCCTCCCCCTATTCGGCTCTAGTACATGAGTAACATCATATGGTCCTGGAGCTTTAGACTTGATGTAATCATTCTCCTTGTCCCATAGCACTCCCATCTCCGTTAAGTAAGCCGATAAGGTATTCGCAAAGAACATCCTCCACTTGTAGTTCATCCTGGTGCGCTGTATCTGGTCGTGCATGATGGCTCCCAAGTTGAGCGGGATCCCTTGCAATAAAGCATACAGCACTAGTGCTCAGTATCGAGGGATATTAGTTTTGTATTGGTACGGCATCAAGCTGTTGCATATGAAATTCAAAACCATACGTGCTAATGCGTTCATGAATTTTTTGGCCAGAGAATGGTACTCAGCACTCCCATGCTTCCAATTTGCATCTTTCTTGGTAGGGCATAGGACAGATTGAATATGTCAGTAATCAGGCTCTTTGCATATAGAGTCATATCTGTCCATTTGTGTGTGTGGCATCCCTAAAAACTCGTTCAGAGCTTTAGTTGAGAAATTGATATCCACTCCTCATACTCTCACATTGCTGCCCCGTGAATGATGCCAATTGGCGTAAAACTCTCTGACAATAGTAAGGTTGGCCTTGTCATGGCCCTTCAAGATAGGTCGCCATTGTTGCACCTCTCAAATTAATTTCAAAAGATCTGGATAATTTTTCTTCAGTACTCCAATATTGATTGGCTTTTCTGGAATATATTTCTTTGAATCCAGGATCTTCTCATAAGCTCGGAATGCTTTTTCACTAACAAAATTCTTCTCCCAAGCAACTCGGTCAATTGGTTCACCCTCATATTCGTTGCTCATGTTGACATTTGTGAGCTTATAGCCCGAATCAGACTCGGACTCAAATTCTGAGGTAGTCTTTTGCTTCCCTTTTATCTTTTGGATCAATCTTCTTGGTGGATTTGGTCTGGTGCGGCACCAGTTCTCTGAACTCTATCCCCTTGCTTGGTGAATTTGATGATATTTTTGTGGTACCCCTTTCCACAGTCCTCCTCACTAATGGGTCCTCCTCTTCTTGCTCCGATTCATCAATTAACTGCCTAGTCGGTGGTGCCTTCACTTTCTCAGTCCGCTTTCTTTTGTTATATGGGTTTGAAGCACCTGTCGCTTTTCCAGTAGGCTTTTTAGGCAGTTGCCTGTCATTATCTCTTTCTTGTTATTTGGACGTTTTGCTCATTGCCTCCATTAGGAACCTATGTACCTGCAAAACAAAGAAGTCAACAATTACTTTACAGAACAGTGAAGTTTCAGATGTGAAGCAGTTGTGCAAGAGTGTGCACTTCCAATCGTCTGCACGCTTATGCCATTTATTACTTCATTCAAACATAGGCCATGGCTTTTACCAGGAATCAACTAACTGGTAGTACACGAATGAGCAATGCACTTATAGACATCATTATGCATAACTAGAAATAGATTCAAGTATTGCTCAAAGCATGTTCAATTACCTACCATATCTCACTTTGAATTTACTCAAATATATCATCATATACTTTTCGCAACCCCACACTTAATCTCAAGACATACCAATACGCATAGAGCGCACATTAGGGCTATTTTGGTATATTAATATTGTATTTATGCTTATATAATAATATATGCTTTCCTTTTTCTAAATGGATTTGGACAAAATAATACATTATCAAATTAAATTAGTAATATTATACTATAATACGTTTTCAAATTAAATTATTAATAGAAATTTTCAAGAAGTATATCCTAAAAGCAATATGATTACATGACTAAAGATATTTACTTATTCAATTTTATATGAATTAGATAGCCGAAAAGTAATTATACTAATATGATTCCTAATGTGTAGTATTATGTCTTAAAACTAATATGATTATAATGCTAATATCTAGAATTCCGGTTATATCCTTTTATTATGAGTTATTATGCTTAATATTATAAGGTTATTTTTGTAAGTCGACACTATATTTATGCTTTTATAATAACTAGTCTCTATGTATGTGCGTTGCACATAAATCTTAAGTCAATTATTTATGTGACAGAACATTTCAATTTTTATCTTATATAATACTACTCCAATTAATATAACAACTTAATGAAACAAATTAATGTGCGTTTGCAGACACCATATTCATCATCACATGTTTTACGTCACTCCAAATTCTTTTATCTCATATTAGCATCAATCATGGCTTTATTAATCAATTGTGTCTATATCGTTAACTTTCTATTTTTTACCTGTTTTTGGTTCCAACATGCAGCTAGAACAAACTCCCAATAACTACATCATCCCGTATAATACGCATCTATATATTTCAAATTTGTTACTTCTAATTATCCGATATCTTTAAAGAAGAAACTTTAGTTGTTACTGGCCTTCCGCTAAAATATTACATACGTTCAAAATTTATTGAAAGAATATCTACAATATTACTGACTTTAATAAAAAAAAAGTAGTCATCTTTTAAAAAGATTGAAAATTCAAAAGAAAAATTAATTGCTATGTTCGATGAGAACAGTGAGAGAATTTCACTGGACACAGATGTTACATAATAAAATAAGCAAAGAAAATATGTCAAAATAAATAAAGTGCCCTAAATATATGAATCATTAAGCAAATTAAAGCGAACTTTCTCATCTTTCATAAAATAAAAAGATAATATAATTAACATCAAAGAGAATATTACATGAGCTTTAATATTAGAACTAACACATACCTTGACCCTCACTCTAATGAGCCAACAGTATTTAGTCCCACACAATTTAAGGGTTTCTTTCTTTTTATGCGCAAGAAATACTATAAAAAAGAAAAGGACATATACTATAATTTTGATTATTAATTAGATAAATAACATAGAAAGTGCAAAAGAAAGATAATTTCTCAAGTAGAGAGAGAATACCTTGATGCATAATCAGTTGGTTATGTTTGAAACTTGGAGAACCAAATTAAGCAATAGACCTTTCGCCAAATCAGATAGAATTAAAGATCATATAATAGAAATTGTTCCCTTGAATACCTTAAAATTTGAACACCAAAGGACATCCAAAAGTCTATATTTCGTACTTTATATTTCATAAGATAGTTCTTATATATTTATGATGTCGTCACAATATGAATAGAAACAAACACAACCTTACAAGCAATAACAACAATTATGGATCGTACCTTTCTAATACAAGTAGGATCAACTTTGTAGGGTCGGTGTATGTGTAGTTTAAATTAAAAATAATTACATCATTAGGTAATTTATAATTAAATTCTTAAATTATATAAATATTTAAGGGCATAAAAGTCGATCAATATTTTGGGATATTTTAATCGTTCAACTTTAGTATAAATTATTCGTATTTTTATAATATAAAGATATAGATAGATAGATAGATATAAATAGATATAGATATAGATAAATAGATAGATAGATATACATACGTATAGATATACATAGATTGTTGCACACCGTGTACACGTGACAAATAAGAAGCTTAACACAATAATCTTTGAAATTATTCTTCTTTCTCTTAAATTAAAAGTTAAAAAGCACTCGAGGGAAACCCAACTGGGCTACCATTTTTCTCAATCTCTAAAGCCACATCGTCGGAAATTTTTCATAATCTCGCCGGAAGAATGAGACGGCCGGCGACTATGAACGTCGACGCGATGACTCGGAAAGTCGCCGTCGATCATCGAATTCCTCTCCGCAATTACTATCGAATCGCCAATAATCTCCTCCGACAGGTTAGCTCTTTTCCAATTGATATACTTAGAACTTTCAATTTTGCTTTTAGTTTGTAACTCATTTAATATAAGCTGTTAAAAGTGTAATATCTTTACAAGTATAACTATAACTATAACTATGCATTCTGCTCTATTTGGGCCAATTTCATTCCAACAATCAAAACCCCTATATTTGTTTGCTAATATCCTATGCCAAATTGATTGGGTTGAGCTGTTTATTTGATTTTTCAGTTGGACTTTTAACTAATTACTTATATCAACTGGTAAAGGAGGAAGCTTGGAGGAAGCTACAACTGTAACTTTTCCTCAATTCCAAACTAGTTAGTTTCAGCTATAAGAATCAACGAAGTTCGATTACTTCGTTGTTACGAGGATAAAGCTGGAACCTTTATCTTGTTATATAGAGGCTATGTGAATTTTCTTTATCGAATTCTTTTTGTTTGATCCGTTTCATTCTGATATGGGGCAAGTCCCAACTCTTTCATTGTTATGACGATAAACCAGATGTAGAGTTATTGTATGGCCCAAACCCTATATTTGTCTTAAAAAATTAACTTAATATGTGCAAATTATTAATAGAACCCAGAAACTCCAAAGAGCTAGAATCCAGAATCCAGAATCCATAAACTTCAAATCCTGGATCAAGCTGGAACCTTTATCTTGACAAATAGTCTCTCTTTGGATTGAGTTTTGTGATTATCTTGTGGTTTGTTTACAGGCCAATATTCACCGTGGGGAGAAGAATATCATAGACTTGTATATAATACTAATGAGATATTCAAGGTGAATGATACTGTGCTGCTTTTACTTTATTTTTGGTGGAATTGTTTTCTAGATTTTCAGATACTTTTCTTTTGCTAGTAATAAGTAACTTAATGGCGTTGTTTGTATTATTGTATTGCCAGTTTGGTTACTGAAACAATACCCGACCATCGAGACTACCTAGCTTTGCATCCAGAAGAAAGAGCATTATCGAAAAGGGTTAGTGTATCAGTTTATTGTCCTTAATTGTCCTCTATGCTGTGTACTAATCATTCTTCTGGATTGCGATTTGTTCTTTACGTGATCTGGATACAATTTTTGTTTTCTGCGTCAACTTGATGATGCTAAAATTTTCAAGTTTTGTTGTTTAATTGTCTCAGATGCTTTCAACAGTGCTAGATGAACTAGAGGGGTTAAAACCGGAATTCCAGCGCCAGCGGAAAAGAATGGATAAAGCTCAAGCAGCAACTCAGACTTCCCAACTTAATAATCAAGAGAACCCTCCCTACAGATCAGTTGGAAATTCTTTAGTACGGCCCTACACCAATAATAAAGCATCTTCTGATTATGACAATAAATGGGTATGTAACTACTTGCTTTTATTTTGAGTTTTGGGGTTTTGTTTGATTTTTTGTATTTTATGCCATCAATTTCTTTCACTTTATTTTCACTTTTTCCTTCTTTAGAAATTAGAATGGAAAATAACTTGTTATTTATATATGCTCTTTGCTGTCTCATTCATTAACTAGAGTTCAGGATAATTTTCTCTTTGCTGAAGTCATAGTTTCATAATTCTTTCTCAGACTCAGTAAAGGACATTGTTTCTTTACTAGCTTGAAAGCCTGTGATTTCATGTCCAGCATATATTTGGTTTGCACGATTTCTCAAGGCCTTCTCATTTGGCCTTGTTTTGCCTTCTACACTTTTGCTCTCCTTATGGACCACAAATTTGTATGTGATAAAATTTCAGGCCATCAGCAATGCACCTTCATCTTTGTGGAAGCAGAATAAAGATTACTCTGGTGTTTCATCCTCGAGTTCGATCGATATGCAGTTCCAGAAGCTGTGAGTCCAAATTAAGAAAACTACCAATGTCCTTTCTTTTGTGGTTGAGGGGGAGGAGGGGTGTTCCAGAGGATGGAACAATATCTTTAAATAACTTGTTCGTCTTTGTTATCCAGTATCCTTGCTGTTTAGGCAGATCTGGTGCAGAATTGAAATTGGTTATTAAGTTACTTTTCCTAAAGGGTTGATATCATCGAGTTATCCTCTAATAATGTCAGTTATTCAGTCTATAGTACCTGCAAAGTTCTTTTCTCCTAGGGTTTAAATCTTTAGCAATTAAGGTACTTTATAGTACCTGGTTTTAAGCTTTGCTGGACATGGTGCAGTTTTACAGCTTGCTATGAAATTCATGTGTTTTAAATTTACCTGAAAAAGTTTTATCCAGGTTAAGAGAATTTCTTGCTCATGCAATACTGTTGTCATCAGGAAGAAGTGTGTGGAAATATCACTTCTTAAGCAACACAGCTAGTCCCTGTATTTTCGGCAATTTAACTTTAATCTTACAATGTTAATTCCCATCTTGATTACTGTGCTAGTCAAGCATGGACATTTTAATTAAAACGGTGGGAGTTTTATTTTCTTCATGAAGTTGTGTGATTCCTCTGAATGTCTGTTGCATAATAGTGTGCATGATAACAGGAAATTTCTTAATTACCTGATGTAATGTAACTGATTTTTGTATAAACTTATTGTCAGATCTCTCAATTTTCCTGTTCCAAAGCAAGAAACACTGTCAAGGCACTCGCTTTTAGGCCCAAATGGTCTTCACGGTCAATGGTCCCGACCTAGTTCCAAGATAAAGGTATTGTTGAAGTTAAATGGTAGTTTCTTATCTTACTATAAACTTCAGCCTAAATCAACTGACCTAATTTGCTTTCTACAGGTGAATTACCCAGCAAATGCTGATTTAAGTTCAAATGAGCTTTTGAGGTTAGGGCCCTTCCAAAGATTGGTTATTGCTAATTCGGCCTACTCTGATGTCTTGCAAGAGAGTTAATTAAATCAGAGTGTCACTATTCCACAGACATCTAATTTGTATGTTCTTAATTTTCTGTTTCTTCAAGCTGTGCTTTGGTACAAAATTTTGAATGTTGTCGTGCTATTTTTATAGCCTCAATCAGGTTGGTGATGATGGCTCGTTCGTGTCTAATGACACTGGCTTGAAGGTGGATAAGTCTCCTATGGAATCGATTCTTTCTTTGGATGATGGACGGTGGTTACACCCTTCTGAAGATTCTTGTTCTCCAATTTTTGATGATATGCGGAGTGATCATATTCCTTTTAGTAACTTAAGGCAACCTTCGCCGCCTCCAGTTCTGGCGCAAATACAACAAGAATTTCGTCCCATATCTCCATCCAAAGTTGCAGATCCAAGACCTGGACCAGCTAAGTCCTTTCAGGACGGGCCACCTGGTTCAAACTCTTATCAACATTTGCATGTTGTAAGTTGTTTTATTTTACTTCATTTAGGTTCATGTATCTCTTTGACCCAGAGCAACCTTCATCTTTATAGAAACTGTTTGAATTGGAGGATTTTTAGTCGTTTATCGATCAGCTTTGCTTGATATAATTTGCACTAGTATAACCCTCGTTATTTTTCTCTTACACTGCAGCCAGTGAGACTGATGGAAGATTTCTTAAGATTAGCTCGAGAAAATACAGCAAAGAATTTAGAAACTTGTGCTGTTCTTGCTGGTTCACTGGTATGGAGCAAAATGCTTGGTCTGAAATTTATAAGCTCTATTTATCTGTTGTCTCATATGCGTGGTGTTTTTGTTTTGTATTTCTTAACTTGCAGAGGAACCGTGTTTTTCACATCACTACTCTTATTGTCCCAAAGCAGGAGTCGACTTCTGATTCTGTAAGATGAATTTTATGTTTCATCTATAGGGATATACTAGATTTATGCTTGAACTTTACCCCTAATATTCAGAAAGCAGAACTGACCGTCCTTTACGACCGGAAAAGTATAAGTACAGCATTGAAGCGTCTTTGCATCTTGAATTTGAAAAAGCTGAACCAAGCTTGTAAATTTCAGGAGCTTTGTCTCTTTAAGATTACTTATGAAATTTGCACTTTTGGATTTAAATATCCTGAAACATGGTGAATTTCTGGAAAAAAGGGCTCATTGTGTTTTTAATTCCCTCTTTCATAATAAAGTATAGGAGAAAGGTGAGAAATATTAACATTAGTTGGCAGTTTCTGCATTTGCTGCATTTATAAAAAGGAACGAAAAATCTAAGAAATTTATGCTTTGCTGCTTTAAACCTACAAAGAAAATAGTTCATACAAGTTAAAAAATAAAACAGTCAGATATGCTTAGGTAGTAATGCTTTTGACGTCATATGGAATGGTTTAACCTTGTTTCTGAAACACTGATTTTGATATCCAGTGTTCAACATTGAATGAAGAAGAAATTTTTGAGGTTCAGGACAAGCTCTCTCTCTTTCCTCTTGGTTGGATACATGTAAGTGTCACAAGTAGCTGTGGCTATATTGCTTGGTCAACATCAGTGTGTTACTATTGAATTTGAAATTTTGACCAACGAAGTGCTTATGTTGTGTGTGGAATTGAGATTAGTAGATGAATATAGAAAGGATTAGTAGATGAATATATTTCAGCCGACGTTATGTTTTGCTTCTTTCGAATTGTTTGGAATCTGTTTAATTGATGCCTTCATATAAAATATGTACTTCTCTGTCTCTGTCTTGCACGAATTTCCAGTGGTGCAACTCTCCATCTATACTTAAAGACTCAAATCCTCATTGTAACCAATCAAATGTTTTTTTTCTTTTTATCATTGTTTAATTCTAAAGTTACTTCATTTGCGTTGCATAATAAGGGAACTCTCTCATGGTATGTTGACACGGTTGATGGTTCTAATTTACTTATTTAAATTCCAAAGATATTATGGTGATGCTAGTGACAAATTTATATTTTTGAAGAATGTTGGCTGTGCATGAATTTCATTATTTGTGAAAAGTTTAGTGTGTTACTTTTGCTTGATTGTTCTATGCTCTTCACATATCTTGCCTTTCTCAAGTTTTCTTGATCAGCTGCATGTAATGGTAGTAATTAGCTATAAAATTAGCTGCATGTAATGATAGGAAATTAGCAATACCAGACTTCTTTGTCTTACTTTAATGATGTAGTGCCAATTATTCTTTTTTTTTCTTTGACTTACAGGTCATTTCATGTGATATTAAAAATACGATAATAAATAATCCAGCTTGCATAGTTTTGGCCTTCCATTTTGGTATATACTCTTGGTTTTTGGGTTAGACTCAGATTCTTTCACATGGTACCACAGACCTTTCTTACTTTACTTTCTCAAATGTAGATCATTAGATACTCTCTCGTTCTCTTCCCCTTCCATATTCTAAGTGGTACCTCAAGCAAATTTGTTCTTGAACTCGTAAGTCTGCATTAAATTTCATGTGTGAAGCACACAAGGGTGTGACCAATCGGTCAATGAAGTGGGTGAAAAATATGGGAGACCAGGGTTTAACTCCTAAGTCCTAACAGAGACAAAAAATGTAAGTGATTATTTCCTATTTGCCTCAGTTTTGGTGGGCAGTGTTATCAAGTACTTGTGTTGGTGGGAAGTAATATGTATACGGTGAAATCGTTGAGGTGCGTGCGAGCTGACCTGGATATCGCCGTTATTTAAAAAAATTCATATGTGAACCTTAAACTCGGGTTACACGTGTTCAGAGGTATGAGTTATATAGTGTCTCGCATTAGGTATATAAAGCATCTAAAGGGGTTTATAAAGTTTTTGAACACTCTACCTGTAGCCTTGAGGTTTTGGATTGGGTTTTCAGCTTCTTTCATACTCTTAGGGGCTGTTTGGTTTGGATTGTACTAGATATAATCTTTACATAAACATCAACATAAGTTTATACAATGGTTGATTGCGATTTAAGGAAATAAGCATTAACTAATACGTTTGGTTGCTCCTTTTTGTTTTCCCCATAAATAATACTTGCATAACATAAGTTATGTGGGAATCTAGGTATTACTTTGTGCGAGATATAATGTGGAATAAGAATGTGAGTATTAGTAATGCATGGATTAAAATGCTAAAATGACCAAACTAACCCTCATACTAATCAGAAGATTTTAATTTTGTTTTAAAAGGTAAACAAATAGTTTAAAGTATACATTGTATACTAATGTGCAATATATCAAGCTAAACATTCAATAAGTAATTATACAGTCCCTGCATTACTAATTCCCCCATTATAATACCTGCGTTACTAATCATTGCATATTTTGTCTCAAAACCTAACGACCCCTTAAACTTCTATATTAGGCTAATCGTCAATGGGATTTAATCCTAGTTGGAAGAGAAATTACCAAAGGCCTAGCATTCCTTCACGCTAGGCGCCAATGAGGTTTTTATTTGAGAGAAAAAGAAGACTCTCTTTCATATCTATTAAAAAAAAAAATAGAGACTACTCTCTTTCACATTCAGGAAACAACTCCCAGAGATTCTTTCGTCGGGAAAGATACAGGAGCTTTTGGATTCAGGAAACAACTCCCAGAGATCTTTTTTCTTTGGGAAGATATAGAAGCGAAACAATCAACCTTTTGACACTTTATTAGGATCAAATTAATATCAAATAGAAATCTAAATGGGGCGTAGTCAGCGAAGGACAACTCAATACCCCCATTGAGGTCAAGTGGTAAGGCAATGGGGTTTGGTCTCGCTATTCAGAGGTTCGGCGTGTAACTTGTTCATAGGTCATTACTTGTTATGAAACTCATGTGAATTTTTTATTTCATAATTGGCTAAAATCTAGGATGTTGAAAGAAAAGGATGAATCATATACATAAAAACCTGCAGAATGATGTAAATGCACCATCTAAGTTGCTTGTCTGCTCGTATCTTGATATGTTTAGTACCGTTGTCAATGAATTGTTGTGTTTCTTATTTGTTTGCAGACACATCCTTCACAAACCTGTTTTATGTCTTCAGTTGACCTGCACACTCATTACTCATATCAGGTAATAAGCAATGTTCTTGTGTTATTAACCTCTGGATTTCAATGGGCAGGATCTAGATATGTCTTCTTTTTTTTCTTGGGAATATATTGGTGCATATAATTTTCAAATTGTTGAAGCCCCTCCACTCAAGTCTAATGGTGAAATGATAGAATGTAACTTTACACATATCTAACAATTGGTGGTTTCTTATTGAGGTGTGTGCATTAAGCATATTTTACTTGTGTCAGAAGGCTTTGCTATAGATTGTAAATCTTTTTGATTACATAAGAAGAACGTATGTGAAATTATCTAATCAAAGATGTTCATTCCGTGTTCATAGAAAGGAGAGATGGTTGGCATCTCCCCCGACAGGGACGGGAACAGCCTTCGGGCTTTACCTGTTACCAGACACATCCGGTCTTTTCGTCTTTCCTGAGCCGAGGGTCTATCGGAAACAACCTCTCTACCTTCAAGGTGGGGGTAAGGTCTGCGTACACACTACCCTCCCAAGACCCCACTTGTGGGTACACTGGGTTTGTTGTTCAGTTGTTGTTGTTAAAGATGTTCATTCCATAGGATGAAAATTGATTTCTGACTGTTCTTCACCAAAAGTACTTTCTTTTGACTCTTGACACTGTTTCTTTCGGCTCATTTTTGTAGATTATGTTGCCAGAAGCGATTGCAATAGTGATGGCTCCTACAGATAAAGCGAGGTATTATGCCATTATGTCTCTGGTATTGCTCAAGTAGCTGTTTAACTGGAAAAAAGGTTCCGCTGGCCATTATTTTTCTTTTAATATGATTTCTGATATACGTTGTGCACATACGTGCACACACACACACTTCTCTCTCATATACATTACATGTATATGAGTGCTCTTATATTTAGATTTGCATTTTGGTTTTTATATTCAAATGCGCAGTGGTATCCGTAGTGGAGTTTTTTCCCTAAATAATACTGTTTTGATTCTTAATTCCAGCATTAACCGGGTCTGGGGGCTAGCTCACTTGGTGAGCTCCCTGCCTTCCACAGCTGAAGTGGAGGGTTCAAACCCCATTTCCCCGCGCGCGCTGATGTAATTGAAAAAATTATATTCCATCGTTAATTTGAAATGTTTTCTGGAAATGTAAGTCTTGCCTGGACTAAGCTCACTTCTAAAGAAGTCACTTAATTATTGAAGGGCTTCAACTGAGTCAAAATTCTGATAATTCTAGAGTACTAAGACCTATAACGGTGAAAGATCAGGGTACATAACCATATACCATACATTATTGAGATGTTAGAAAGGCCACTAAATGGATCAGAGACTTCTAAATGCTGATTGCAGTTTCACTTCCTGTGACAGCCCTCATGGTATATTTCATTTGTCTGATCCTGCTGGTGTGTCTGTTATCCGGAATTGTCAGCAGCGTGGTTTTCATCCTCATGAGGAGCCTGAGGATGGAAGTCCGATATATGAACACTGTTCTCATGTCTATATGAATGCAAACATGAAGTTTGATGTTATAGACCTTCGTTAACCTTGCAATTTTATGAAACTTGGAAGGACATATAGGAGTAAATGTTACAGAGATGGTTGTATAGAAGCTTGATGTTATATACCTTCTTGTAAATTCATTAACGGGGATCCAAGAACACAATCTTTATTTCAGATGAGCGATTGTATTTTTTTTTCCTTCTTATCTTAAGCCGAGAATTTTATGTTATCCATTAGGAATGAGGGCTTTTGGTTTCGCAATTCACATTGTTTCTCTAGACCATATTGCCTTGAATTTATTATTCATGATAAACAGCTGTTGTAACCTGAGCAATCTAATGGGATCTTTATCAATCTTTGCAAGGCTTAAATTCACATGTGTGCCTTTTGACATTTTGGAAAAAGCTACCAGTGGATAATTTTTTGCTAAACGTGAGACTTCTTAAACTCACTTTGTTTACCTTATAGTTTTAGTGCCAGTTTGTCAAGAAGTTGAATAAGATACATTCGCAAAGGTATAAGATTTTAAAATAGATTGCGATAAACAAGTAAATACACTCAAATGTAATTAACATTTGTGTTGTAGGTTTTCATTATTATTTTTTTAGGAGAAGGACAAACGTTTTTAGTGATGCTGCCTCCAAGCATGTTCTTTCAGTGTAGGAAGTGTAAGGAATCCAGAATGCTATCGGTTTATAAAATTCCAAAGAGATGGCTTTAAACATGTGCGTCCTTATATTCGAAATTCCAAATTTCATTCCCAGTGATCATTATGATTAGACACTCTCTGGTACAACATCCATATTTAAGAATAAAAGAACTTCAAGCTAGTGCGCAACGATTGAAAAACCATTGCTATTTGCTGCTTGCAGCCTCGAATATCATTATTCCATCTTTCCAATTATGATTGATTAGCTTCTTCCCTGGTGCTAACAGTCAGTTGTTCTTCATTCCATTTCTACCTTTGAGTACTTTCAAGAACTCGTTATCTTCGCTATATCTTTGAACAGAAGACTACTAATGGATAAGCAGCTTTATCAATTATCACCACCAGTCCTATTATATCCCAAATAAAAAGTCTTTGAGGGAAATGATGTAGAAATCTTAAAACTTTAAATATCATACTTTACTATAGCCGAAAAGAAAGAGCAACCGCTAGACTAGCGACGCAATTGTCTCTTCGCCTTCACTCAGTTCCTCCTCCTTCCGATCTTCCCTCTTTAAAACACCAGGTAAAGTCATTCCAAAAGCATCTGCATTAGCTATAAGAACACCGCGTCTTCATATTTGCTTCGTATTCACTTCCTTCTTATTTTACAAAAAAAATCTTCAGTAATCCTATTTGATTGCACTCTTCTTTTATATACAATCAACCATTCAAACCAACGATTGTATCAGAATGCCTTCTTATTTGAAGAACCAATTAAAGACTCATTTGAAGTTTAAATTCGAAATCTGAAAATCTTTAGTAGTTGTTTTCTTGGGATGGCGGAAAACATGTGCGAGCCCCATCTAATGGAAAAATAAAATTCAATGAGGATTTGGTTCATTTGACATGTACATGGGCATCCCGCGTTTCGATATTCTATAAATTTTTATGTAACTATTCATCCTTTCGATATGAGTTGCACACACATTCATTTTAAGCAAACGGATAAACAGATGATCCAACTTTACTACATAATTGTTTCTTTTTATTATTTCTGGTTGGAATTCATTAGAAACACCTGGACAAGGCTATATACAAAGTTTGATAAAAAATGCGGGTGGTTTGAATTGGTGTGGAGTCACAATTCAAAGCTGGAAAAAACGACAAGTATAGCCATGTATACAAAATACATAAATATACAGTGATATACATGGATACAAAATGTATATCCATGTATCCCCATGTATGTCCATGTGTATACACCGATATATATGGATATACACAGATATATACCTCCTACATACAATCATTCCCAACCCAAGACACCATCGTCTTTCCAGTTAAACATCATTGTAGCTCCACCGTTCAACCACTATTATCACAACAACCAACACTGGTACCTTTATTGACAAAAGAAGAAGCACCTCATTTGCAGAGAAAAACATTGCCTACAATGCAAGACATTAGCTAAAGCGGGCAATAAAATGGGAGTTGGGCCGTTTTGTGCCAAATATTTGGCCGGAATGGGCGGTTCTAAGTTCTAAAGATTTAAAGCTTAGAAACACGTTAGAACGTTTTTTCTAAATGTTCTAAAGATTTAAAACTTAGAAACACGTTAGAACGTTTTTTTCTAAAAAAGATATTTGTTTCTTCTCTTTCATGAGATTGCTATGAAATTTTATGTATATTGAAATAAGACAATAAAGAAAAGAAGAATATTGCACTAAGATATGAAACTTCAGGATCAAGAAGCTCTTCATTCTTATTTTGAGGTCGGAACGGATCCTTATTCACATCAAGTGATCGAACAATCATCGGAGTACTTAATGGATGCGCTCCATCTATGTAAAACCGTTTCAATACCTTTTATGTGCGTCAGACATTTTAAATCATTTGAAAATTTTTATGTGTATCTCATTATCAAGTGAGCCATAAAGGTAGGATATAACCACATCCATTAAATGCAAGTCAAGCTTTTCATGGACAACAAAACTAATGAGCTAAAGTTATTACATCCATAAAAGGTGAATATGTCTCTTCATAATCGACATCAGTCCTTTGTGAAAATCCTTGTGCAACAAGGAGCGCCTTATATCTTTGTACTTCATTTTTCTCATTCCTCTTACGTACAAAGACCCATTTATAGCCAATAGGCTTAACACCGTTAGGTGTTTGGACTATAGGCCCAACAACTTTACGTTTCGCAAGTGAATTCAACTCTGATTGGATTATTTCTTGCCATTTTGGCCAATCAATTGTCGACATTCTCTAACAGATTGAGGTTCAAGATCCTCAGTATCTTGCATAATGCGAGATGCAACATTATATGCAAAGATATAATCCACCACTATATCCAATCGATTCAAATTCGTCTTAATATCGATTGGATTTATTGATAGTTCCTTATTTTCTTGAGTCTCAGGCTCATTGATTTCCTCATGAATCTCAGGATTGGTTAAATCATGGATTTCTTTATGAGACTCTTTCGTAGTGTCATCTTGATCATTTATTTTCTTTTTCTAGGACTTTAATCCGTAGAACCCAACGGTCCGCCACGCTTTAGGCGTGCTTTTGACTCATTAGCTATGACACTAGAAGACTGTCTAACAGGGACATCAATACAGATTGGAACATTCTCTACAGGGATATATGATTTTATTATTCTTTTCAGATCCGTAAATGCATCTGGCATTTAATTTGTTATTTTCTGCAAATGGATAATCTTTTGCACCTATTTTTCTCAAATAGAGGCACGTGGATCAAGATGAGACAATGATGGATTTTTCACAAAATTTTTCGTTTGATTTCACCATTTTCTCCCCCTAATTTTGGGAAAAAAGTCTCATTGAATCGATAATCTGCAAATCGAGCAGTGAATAAAGCTCACGTTAATGTTTCGAGGTAGCGAATAATGGAGGGCGATTCAAAACCAACATATATTCCTAACCTTCTTGGGGAACACATCTTGGTGCAATATGACTGTGCTACAGGCACATATACTGCATCAAAAAAATTCTTAAATGAGATATATTAGGTTCATGACCCAAAACTAATTACAACAGGGATATTTATGATGATTTGTTAGTGTGAGACGAACTAGCATTGCTGCATGCAAAATGACATGACCCCAAACAAAAGTGGGCAACCTCGTTTGCATGAGTAATGGTCTTGCTATTAATTGCAGGCATTAAATCAAAGATTCTGCAAGGCCATCTTGAGTGTGAACATGAGCTACATGATGTTCCACTTTTATCCCAATTGATAAGCAATAATCATTAAATGCTTGGGATGAAAACTCTGCAGCATTATCAAGTCGAATAGACTTAATTGGATTGCAAGGGAATTGTGACCGTAATCGAATTATTTGTGCCATTAATTTTTCAAACGTTAGGTTGTGAGATGACAATAGGCATACATGAGACCATCTAGAAGATGCATCTATTAAGAGTATAAAATATCTAAATGACCCACTAGGTGGGTGAATAGGTCCACAAATATCTCCTTGTATACATTCCAAAAACACAGGGAACTCAATCCCAACCTTTGTTGGTGATGGTCTAATAATTAACTTGCCTTGGTAATGAGAAGTGCAAGAAAGTTTATTATTTAAAAGAAATTTTTAATTATTTAATGGATGCCCATTTGAGTTTTCTATAACTTATCTCATTATAATTGATTCAGGATGTCCCAATCGATCATGCCAAAGTACAAAAGTATTGAAATCAGTAACATTTTAGTTTACGACAGAATATGCCTCAATTGCACTAATTCTTGTCCAATACAAGCCATAAGATAAAGATGGGAACTTGTCAATAACCCTTTCTGGCCAGAGACATTCTTGGTAACGATGAGATATTCAAGATTATTCTCATCTATTATCTCAATATGATATCCATTTTGTCGGATATCTTTAAAACTCAACAAGTTCCTCCTGGACTTGGAGGAGAATATTACATTATCTATGATAAGTATTGTTCCCCTAGGCAGAGTTAGAGTAGCTCTTCCACAACCTTCAATTAAATTACTACTACCAGAAATTATAGTAACATCTGTTATACACATACTTAAACGAGAGAAATATTTCTTCTCTTTGAATATTGTATGTGTCGTACATGAATCAATTAAACAAATATTTTTATAATTGCACTTTGATCCAAGTTTTCTTTGAGAGATATCCATATTTGCTTCCCATAGTTTGACATATAAAAGGAAATATACGAATAAACATTAGTATTTTCAGAGAAAAAGGAAAAGAAACAAAGTTAAATCAATGATTCAATAATGATTTTTTAATACAATTTTGAGCAAACTATGACTATGATACAAACAATTACGTAGCTAAAAATAATATAATTATGAGTACACTACACATGTGACTAATACAACTACAACAAATTTATTTCCATGTATACGATATTTACTTTTGTACCGGTTTAAACTCTTAGATTCGATCATATACTACTATAATCTTGTTAAGCAACGCTTCATTCGATCTTGATGGCTCGTAAACAGTAATACATTTTAAAAAGTCTAATTACTGGATGTATTTTTGTACTATTCACAGTTTATTTTTCAAAGTTCCTATTAATTGACAGTGACTGAAAATTACAAAATTTTATAATTTTCAAA